CTGCCTCAGGCCACTTGCCGTGGGAAAACCAGACGTGATTTCATGTTCCTTTCCCGTGAACTGATTAGCCTGTTTGACCATTGTGAAGTGGACCATGACACTGTTTCGGATCACTCTTCTTTGGTCTGTCACTTTGATGGTGGACTTGACCCTTTGCGCTTTGCTTGGCCTATCCCTGACCCTATGGCTTGGGAACCCCTTGACCACAGGACGCCAGTCACTGGATCCTTTTTCCAAGAACCTGATCAAGCATCTGAGGACTATGCCAGCTTTTGGAAAGCTCTGGAGCAATCCAATCAAGAAGCCAGGCGCCGACTTAAGAAACCAATTGTTCGAGCCATGGGTGGGCGTGCCGCTGTGGTTGCACCCCAAGTCCGTTTGGATCAGGTACCTCCCCTGAAAGCTAGCAGACCTGGAGACCGCCGACCGCAGTTCTTGGGTTCTTGCCTGCAACACGTGCAATGGACCAAGCAGTTGAGGAGGCTTCAGTCTTACATCCGGCTTGCCCATGCGACCTTTTCAACTCCGGCCCATTTGGTGCATGCTCTCCAGCTTTGGACTTCGATTCGCAACGCCCGTGGTTTTGCCCCGTCCTTCCATGGTTGGTGGTCTTCCCGTTGCCTGGGTGTTGGGGAACCGACTTGCGTGCCTGTTGAACCCCCTACTGGTGAAGTTGCCAAACTGTTTTATCTTGGTCTTGAGGCCGACCTGTCCGACCTTGAAGCTTGCCTCAAATCCTCCAGGTCCCATGCGAAACGCCTGATGCGTGCGTCGGACGTCCATGCCATCTATGGTGCAGTCAAACGAGATGTCCCCGCTCAAGTTGACTCCTTGGTTGACACGGTTTCTGGTGTCGTTGCTGAGGTCGACATGGAGGAATGTGCGGTTGTGCTTGAGACCCCGGTTGACTTCCGTGCTGATGCCCCCCTCCTCTTTGATGGAGGCATGCTCCAGGTCATCCACCACGAAGCTGACAAAGTTTGGGTCGACAGTTGCCATGGAGTCTTTCCTGGACTTGTCCTAGCACAGAAGAAACAGATCGGACGCATCGAAGAACTTTTCTTTGCTTTCGAAACCCAATGGTCTCAGCTTTGGAATAAGCACGCTGGCCTTGAAACTTCTCAGTGGGATGAAATCTTGGGTTTTGCCAAAAGCCAACTTCGACCCCTTGCTGTGCCTGCCCCTACCTTCACAGTTGAAACTTTCATGCGTTGTGTCAGGCGGAAGTCCAAACACTCTGCTGTCAGCCTTGATGGAGTCTCCAGGGCGGACCTTCTTGCCCTACATCCCTCTGAAGTGACCACCCTTTTGGGAGTCTTCCGACAAGCGATCGAAAGTGGTTCTTGGCCCCAACAGACCCTTTTCGGATATGTTCGGTCTCTTGCCAAAACTGGGTTGCCAGAACAAGTTGGGCATTACAGACCAATAACGGTCTTCTCCTTCCTTTATCGGGTTTGGTCGTCTATCACTGCTAAACACTGGTTGCAAGAGCTCAGCAAAATTGTGGATCCCTACTTGTTTGGCAGTACCACGGGTGGCCGTGCTTCACAGGTTTGGCGGCATGTTTTGGAATCCGTTGAAGCTGCTCACCGCGGAGAGGCCCATGCTTGTGGATTTGTTGCCGACATCATCAAAGCCTACAATGATTTGCCGCGATTCCCAGCGTTGTCGGCCGCCAAACTTCTGGGGATTGACCATGGGACACTGCTTGCTTGGGCCGGAGCTTTGGCAGGTTTTCGGCGGCATTTTGTGATTCAAGGTTCGTACGCCCCTGGTGTGCAATCGACCAATGGCTTCCCCGAAGGTTGCGCCATGTCTTGCGTTGCTATGGTTGTCTTGACTGACCTTTTCCACAAATGGGTGCGTGCGGCTGGGGTCATGTTCCGTCCTGTTTCTTACGTTGACAACTGGGCTGTTTTGATGCAATCTCCGGCCCATATGCAGAGGGCGTGCCAAGCAGTTGACAAATTTGCGGACATGCTCCAGATCCGTCTTGATGCCAACAAGAGCTTCACTTGGTCGTCCGATCGCCAAGGACGTCTTGAGCTGCGGTCTCAGGGTTTCCGCGTTGTCCATTCTGCCAGAGACCTCGGAGCCCACGTGGTTTACACCCGTCAGCTTGCCAACAAGACCACCCTTGACCGTGTCCGGGATCTTGATGACTTCTGGTCCAAGCTTCGGTCTACCAAGTGCTCCTTCCAGCAGAAGGTGACGTTGATCCTCCGAGCTGCATGGCCCAGAGCTCTGCACGCTGTCTCTGCCGTCGTCATTGGCAAGAAACACTTTGAAAGCCTCCGGTCCGACCTTATGCAAGCCTTAGGTATCCAGAAGCCCGGCTCCAGCCCTGACTTGCAATGCTGCCTTGAGAGGTTCCCCGTTGACCCCCAGGTTTTCGCTGCCCTTGAGACCGTTCGAGATGCCAGGAGCCTTGGGTGTCACTCAAACTCATTTTGGACTTGGATCAAGGGCCACTCAGCCAAGACAGACCGACGTTCAACTCGCTCTCCGAAATCTTGTGCCAGAGACTCCACCAACTTGGGTTCCAGGTGTGCTCTGGGGCCTTGCTTCAAGATGACATTGGCCAGTTCTGCTTTCTCAAGTGTGGGTTTGGTGAGTTTCTCTTCCGGTGTCAGCGGGCGTGGATTCCTGTGGTTGCGGCTCGAGTTTCCCACCGTACCCCCTTTGCTGACTTCAGTCGGGTCGATGTGCGTCACACCCGACAAGAATACTTGCTTGCGTCTGGTTTTGACCAAGGGGTCTTGAGAAAGTTCTTGAATGGTGCCAGCTTTACCAATGCGCACGCCTATCGCTGGTCCGAAACTGGGAGCGACAGATGTCTGTTGTGTGGGGAGATGGATTCCAGCTGGCATAGACTGTGGGAATGCCCGGCTTCCGCTGACCTCCGTGGTACCTGCACTCCCCCTTGGCACTTTGGACTTGGTTCGCTCCGCCCCCCAGGTGGTCTCCGTTCATGGTTGGACTCTGCAATCTCCCTCTGCCGTTTTGTGGCTGCGTTACCTTGATGGACTCCCCCGTGACCCTCCGTTGCCGGAGAAACCGCCACCTGGGCAGATCCTGGATTTGTTCACTGACGGTAGCTGTCTCTTTCCGACGGATCCGGACTGTCGTGTCGCTGCCTACTCCGTTGTCCATGCGGCGCCGTTTGCTTTGGACTATGATAAGCAGTGCTTCCGGCCGATTGTGGCCCAACCCCTGGCGGGTGTCCTGCAGTCTGCGTTTCGAGCAGAGCTTCAAGCCATTGTGGTGGCGCTCAAAATCACCTTGAAGTTTGGAGTTTGGGTTCGCATCTGGACCGATAGCGGGTCGGTCATCTCGCTCTACCAAAAACATGTGCAGGACCGAGCCCCAGTCAATTTCAATTGCAAACACTCTGACCTCTTGCAAGAAATGGTCGACCTTGCGACCGACATCGGACCCCACAAGATTGCCATCCTCAAAGTTCCGGCGCATGAGAATAAGGCCCAATTTGACACCGAACTTGAACACTGGCTCCTCGATGGCAATGCAGCAGCCGATCATGCAGCCCGTTGGGCCAACCAGGCACGGGGACCAGCCATCTGGCAACTGTGGAACGACCACGTGCAATCTTTGTATGACAACCGGCAACTTGGGTCCCTGGTGCGTCGCCATATGATCAACGTTGGCCGGCTCTGGAAAGACTCCCCTGGCGGAGCACCACCCAGAAACCTTGACCCACTGGTTCTTGGTGCCCCCCGTCCAGCTCGAGTTCAGCCTGTCCTCCGTTGGACTTCCTCCGACTCTCTTGCCCTGTGTCAGCCTGGTTTCGAACGCTTGTTTGACTCTGCCTTGGCCCTGGATGTACAGCGATGGATTTCGAGCATCCGAACCCCCGCCGTGCCGTTGCAGTGGATTTCTTTCATCCATTTGTTCATCAGCTTTCAGCGTAGGTGCGGGCCAATTGCCATCTCAAAGTTGGATGGACGCTGGCAAATTCAACGAGGCGAGGTTGCTAGGCTGGCGAACCATGCAAAGTTCACTTTGAGGGCCAAATGGTTCAGACTCATGTTGCAGCAGTTCCTTCGTGATTGCAGGGTCGATTTTGTGACGGCTACCACTAGGCCCCACTCCAATTGGATCTGTTGCTTCAAAGGTGCCCTTGGGTTTCATTTTTGCCCTGAAGAGTTTCATTTTATTGAGGGGATTCTCAGCCAACAACTTGGTTCGCCAGCTACGGGCTTAGGCAAGTCGTTGGAGGGTTTGCGGGGTTAGTTGCGTCGGCTGCAAAGGTTGCCGACGTTGCTTTCCCAGCGCGGCAGCTGAGCACCCAGAGCAAAAAAAAGAACATTTTTTTATTTTCCCCAATAGTTGGGATGATGATCCAATCTGACTAATATTTTTCAGAGGGGTTGAAACCACCAACCAGATACAGATCGAAATGATTTGAACATATTTGAGACATCATCTGCGGTGACTGAGGCCACACGTGCGGCCAACAAATCTCAGGCGGAAGCACGGTGACTGATTTTGATAGGCCCAGGATGATAATATTATATGATATTATATGTATCCTTTGGTAATCAAAGATGGCAATGGAAAACTCACCATAAATGGAGGTTTTAATTGGACAATCATCTATAGATATACGGATAATTATACGTGTATAATCATAGTGGATTTTTCATTGCCATATTTGATTATAAAATATTATATATATATACATAATGCATTAAAATGTAAGCCTTCCGACATCAAGAATGATTTTGTCTCCGGCGTCATCAAACATGGCTTGCTGGAACCCCCCACTTTAAGTTCGAGGATTTCCCTGCCAGCCATTCTTTATAACCGAAGATCCGAAGGTCAGTCAATTAGGTCATGAATCAGTCTTAAAATTGCTGAGATACAAGGTGGATCATGGCACAGGCATGGAAAAAAATATACACCAATGGATGAGTTCGTGATTGCAACTACTGTACGTGTTTTGCCATGTCGGCGCCACTGGATCTGTCCGGCTGCCGGAGGTAACGAACCTTTGGGGCGATGGTGACATTCCCATCAAGGATATGATCTTGAAGGCATGGAGGGCAAGGAGTTGTGTCATTTTCACTCCATGCAGCTCCCTGCTGCAGCGCTGAAGGCACCTCGGATGGGTTTGGATGGTGACGTAGTGAGTAGACGAGGGAACCGATGCTCAGCCCTCAGCTGTCGGCATTATCATCTGGGAGATGTGGGGAGAAAAATCGATGATCCAAAGAAACCAATGGTTGCAACGGATGTAAAAAAACTAGTTGCATGTTTCACATAGTGTTGTGTGAAACTCTGTGAAAGGGAAGTTCAAATCTGCTTGTCCTGTTGCCAATGTGATCTTAGATGATGGGACCGGACCATCCATGGAACTGATAATATCGACCCCCTGGCGTTTTTGGGACTCCCATTCCCACAATCTTCCCATACGTTTCATATGGGGGTTTATTGGGGGTCGCTATAAATTTATATAAATTGCGCTTATTCAATCTACCTCATATAATATATATATATATATTATATATATATACGTATATATAATATCATGGGATAGACATAGTATATGTAGTACAAAATAGTATGATGATGGTCCAGTGGTTGTCCTTCTCGGCTGCCATGAATCGGCAGCTGAGTTGTGCGCTACCATTGGTGACGCAATTCTCAGTGCAGACCTAGAGATGTAAAGCTAAGATCCTTCAAAAATTATGAGAAATTATGAGAAATTACTATTGATATCCATTGTAATACTATACATATACTCTATGTTTACCATCCAATTTTGGGTACCTCCAGTTCAGGAAAGCTCCATATTCCCAACGAAGAAGTGCTCCAAGCTGGGTTTACGTTGTCCTGATCTCCATGAGGCCGCCACCGGCGCATTCGCAAGCGACAACGGCGGAACGAGTTTGACCGGGATACCCAGCTGTACAGCTCTGAAGAGTTGATTCAAGTTCAATCAGATTTGCTGTACAGACAGTTTCAAAATGTTCAAAATGTTTCTAACGCACTCTATATATCTATATAATATATATATACAATATATATATATGATATATCATATTATATATCGATACAGAAAAGAAAATGCTGGGAAATAGTGATGTACAGATGATTACAGATGCATCGAACATGACTTGTGGACTGTGATGATTGGCTGGGAAAAGTGGTTCAGTACAAAAGAGGAATTATAAACATAACTAAACTGTTGACAGCTAATGTTGTTACACCGCTTCAGTAGTTTTCATGTCGATCCCAGATCCCTGATCGAGCCAAGAGCAGAAGCCACAGCGAACTAGTGGTACATGTTTAATTCAAATATGGAGACAGCGAAGTGTTTGCCCATGAATCTCGCCTGCAAAGTCTTGCAACGTCCAACAAACATCCTTTTTCAATCAATCGTGCCGAGATCTTCTCGAAGACCAGACAGAATGCCAGAGAGGCCGAAACCGACTGTTTTGGCTCATTGGTTCCTTAAGTTGCTGCTCTACAAAATAGCCATGTTTTTTCAAGATGGAGCTACCGGCCTTGTGCTTCATTGAGATTCATTGATTATTATATAACTAGGGGTACCCCCAAATCATCCATGTTAGTAGGTTTTTTCCCATTATAAACCATCCATTTGGGGTACCCCCATTTATGGAAACACCCATATATGATTATAGATGTTTGAGACCGGCTTTTGTGTGCAATTCCACAACATCCACAGACTGGTGGAGAACAGTGGTGAAGGTAGAAAAAGATGAAGCCAATCTTGTCAAAGTGGAATATCACCACGCAGGTTACCTGACTTGCAGCTATTTTCATGCGAAAAAAAAGGGGTTTTCATGTCCCTTGACTCGATGCACTTGGAACTTGTCTGAACTTGTGATTGATATGATTGATATGCTCCATTTACCAACATCATCCAACATCTATCATTTACATTCATGTACCAAGAGCAACATTTTTGCCATATGGATCATATGGAGGTTTAGGTGAGTTTTTTTTCTTTCGGCCATCGCAGGCCCGAAAGCGTACCCAAACACGTGGAACTGAATGGACCGCCAGCCAAGAGACATTGGAGAAAGCTCTCCAGTGAGATGTTGCAAAATGGAATCATTCTCCAATCGGATTGGATGACAAATGACATACATTTACCAGCCCCTGTTATGTAAAACCCGTGCGCTTCTCTTTGCCCTGCTCGCAGTCTACCAGCATCTAAGTGTCAGCAGACAAAAAGGACCTGCGATCCCGTGCTGAGTTCACTTCTTCGCCTGCTGACTGTGTTGACGGTATTACAGTAATTTTCTGCGCAAATTCGAGCGAGCCAAGACGAGGTACGAGGTAGACACAGCAAATTGACGAGGCGATTTCACTACTTCACGCCCCGACGAGGTAAAGCTTTTTGCTTACTTTTTGAGTGGATGATGGACAAAACAAGCTTTTCAGGGGCGTAGTATTTTTTCTGGTTGTTTGGTCGCAATTGTAATGCTTCTATCAGGTCTAGAGGGGGATAAACTTTTCTGTTTGTGATTTTTTTTCACACATTGCTTTGGCCCCACAGCATTTGGCTGAGGGGTGAACGACGGACAAAAAAGAACTTTTCAGAGGCTTAGCAGTTTTTTTCTGGTTGTTTTTTCGCAATTGCGCACCTCTATCAGGTCTAGAGGGGAATAAACTTTGCAGCTTGTGACAAGGTGTTTTTTCACATATTGCTTGGGCCCCACAGCATTTGGCTGAGGGCTTACTTTCAGAGTTGACGATGGACAAAAAAGAACTTTTCAGAGGCTGAAAGTGTTTTCTGATTGTTTGGTCGCAATTCCAATGCTTCTATCAGGTCTAGAGGGGAATAAACGTTTGAGCTTGTGAAAGTTTTTTTACATATTGCATTGGCCCCACAGCATTTGGCTGAGGGCTTACTTTTTGAGTGGACGATGAACAAAAAAGGACTTTTCCGAGGCTGAAAGTTTCTTCTGGTTGCTTGGTCGCAATTGCAATGCTTCTATCAGGTCTACAGGAGAATAAACTTTTGAGCGTGTGAAAGTTGTTTTTTTCACATTTTGCGTGGCCACAAAAAGAAGAACGCCACTGTGATTTGGTAGGCAAAGGAACGAGCCCAGTAATTCCCAAGAGTAGAATTAACCAGGCGAGGTGAAACGTCACGCATGCGAATTGACGACGAGGTGACGAGGTGCGAATTATTCTAATTTGGCCAGATCCATGGCGCTGCGTTCGGAAATGCTGCCACAAGTAAAGCTGTGAATCATGGACATGTTTCTGTAGTAGTACAGGACCGTCTTGATGTCGTGACATGAAATGCACCATAGACAGAACGTGCATGTTTCACTGTATACCTGCAGCTGCTAACATACAAATTTCCAAGCTGGCAACATTCCATGGGCAAAAAAATAGAGCCTTTAGCATATAATCCCTGGCTATTCAGTGCTGCAACTAGCAACGACAAGGAGTGCCTTGAAAGGATATGACAAGAGGAAACCACGGAAGGGAATGGCAACACTTCTACAGCATCCAGATTTCTCACGCAATTCCTCTCCCATGGCGCTGACGGACATCATGCGTGACATTGTGAGATATTTTTATCCATGTGGTCTCCCCACTGAATCTGAATGACATATTCTGATTCCAGAAGTCATCAGAAGTCCTGAGCATGAATGAATTTGGTGCATATCCAGAGCCTGTTGTTCCAGTGAGGAGCAGCCCTTCACGCTGGGTGTGCGTTTGGATGTGGACTTTGATGGTTTCTTTCGACGCGAAGACGCCTCGGCACAACTGAAGCTTTGGCGGGAGGCTCGCACTCAAGGTTTGTCTAGTGGATGCTGAGCAAAAGGATTTGAATATGTCTTTAGATTCTTTAGATGTCTTTAGATGTCATGATGTTCTTCTAGGTTGGTATTTCATGGTAACTCCAAGTCAAAGATGATCAAAGTACAATTACAATAGGATTTTCCATTGTGAACCATCCAGCTATTGGGTTATCCCCATTTATGGAAACCCCCAATTACGTGCGGCCTCTTGGTGAGGCCATTGCAACCAGTGCCGTGATCCCAGTCACTGTTCAACCGTCAAACATGGACTGGACGTCTCCTATGTCATGGGGATACCCCCAATCATCCAGTCGTCATGAATGACCACGACTACTGGTTGGTGGTTTGGAACATGTTTTATTTTTCCATAGATTGGGAATAATCATCCCAACTGACTAATATTTTTCAGAGGGGTTGAAACCACCAACCAGACTAAGTCTTGAAACCCATGACTTGTGGATGCCTCATTTTAAGAAACCCCCATACCCGAAATCGAGAGTCAATCAATCAAGATGTGGAGATCTGGGCATGTCTCAAAATTCTTGACCCCACAAAAAACAATGACAGTTCTAATACTGAAATTGGCCCATCTATGTTTAGAGGATGTTTCTGCCAGAGCCATATCATGCCATACAGTATCTACGTTCCGCCAGAGTGGTAGGATTTGGATGGGCTACCTGTGGACCACCTAGGTCCTTGGGCTTGCATCTCCACATCAGCTTCAATTGCGACGGGTGAGGATGCGGCAAATGCAACCCTCAGCGCCCAAAGCGCTTGGGATCTTTGGGGTTGTTTGAATGAAAGTTTCTGAAAAAATTTACCGCACCCTGTGCTGGTGGCAAAGGATGGGGCCTGTCACAAGGCACTTCTTATCTTTTTTGCCCTCATCTTATGAAAACTGCCTAAGGATCTGGCAGGAAATGATAGGAGAAGCAGCTGACTGGCCTTGAAACAGCTGAGAAAACATGCCATCCAGGAGAGAGTCTCTGGATTTGGAGTTCGAAGTGGAGGCCCTGCCGAGACGTCGGAGCGAGCTTTCTGTGCGATGTTTCTTTTCTTTGGGGCCATTGACACTGAAAACCATTGAAACCCATCATTCTAAGAATCTGTATATATATAATTAATATATATATATATATAGTAATTTACAACAAGAATGAAGATAGATGGATGGATAGGATAGCATAGTAGAAGATAAGATAAGATGGTAGTAGATAGGTAGGTAGGTATACATATATTATAGGTGGATAGGGATGGATGGATGCACGGATGGACGGATAAGTTGACAGCATGTACCCACGAGCAATCAAGAAGTTGGGTACAATAGTCAGCGGCATGGGTACTATAGCGATATAGACACTAATGCTACTGTACCCTGCGGTAATTGAATATCGCACTAAACCGCCTAGGAAAACAACCACAACATGCAGTGCAGACATGTGCTGAGTTGTAATGCGTTCCATCAGATTTGTTGATGTGTGAATCAAGTCTTGTTGTAGCTATACTGCCATCTATGAATCATCGTTTGACGGATGCATTTATTCGAAGCCAAAGGTGATTATCCGGAATCAGAATCCCTGTACATTGTAGCACTACATATGTTTGCTGTATTTTGCCGTTTTGTCTCTGCAATGAGATGCAATGAGCAATCAGTGCAGACACTTCGACAGTCCTTAAATGAGTTGTGACTTCTTGGTTGGCGGAAAATTTGGCTACTCCAGAAAGCACATGAAAGCACCACATCTTTCCGCCAGCTCCATTTGACTCACAAGTTCTGGAAAATACATCCTTAGCAATCCTTAGCATAAGACTGGATCCCAAGATATCCTCAGCATTCCTGATTCTATCTGATTCCTTTGCCCAACTTATCCCAACCTCGGCATGTGGCGCGGTCCTCGTTTCTTTTCCAATGCCGGTCCCTTGGAACGTTCCGCCTCATGGACGTTGCGGGAGCCGGCGCTCTTCGACCCCGGCGGGGGACCCACCGTGGCGCATACCCTGGAGGTCAGCAAGCGCCCAGAAGACCTGCGTCTGGTGGCGGCCGCGGCCAAGGGTGATCTGAGGGCGGTGGAGGCAGCACTACCGGAGGCCGTGGTGGAAGCACATGTGCGACTTCCAGGAGTGGGATATGGGAGTTGAACAGGTTCAAAGGATTTCAATGTATAGTTCAAATTATAGTTCAAATTTATTCAAATTTATCTTTGAATATTATTGAATGATATTCGGCTTAAAGATGTTTCAAAATGTTGCAAGTACAGTAGTCAGGATGCGGAATGTTGCTGATTCAGCCTCTATGCCACCCAAAATAACGCAAGTAAACATGGCATCGCTCAGGGAATTATACGGATTCAGTGCACAAATCCTTGCAATTCCGTCTCCGAGAAAGTCAGATCACCTTTCCCAGGATTTCTTCGCGCGACCACAGCGCTGCATGCAGCCAGTTCTGCCGGCGCCGTGGCGGTGGTCCAGCGCTTGCTCGAAGCTCGCAGCGCGGTTGCAGGGGGTCATGGACAACTGCGGGCCTTGACCCCACTGCATGATGCTGGGACCGAGGAGGTCGCCTTACTGCCGCCTGGCCCCGGTGATCGTGACTGGGGAAGCTGTGGGAGCAAAAGTGTCTATGTTTCCGCTAGGGAACATGGAGAAAAATAGATGCATAAGTTAGTATGATTCGTTCTCGTGGAAATGTTGGTGTCTGCTTTCCAGTGATTTCAGGAGTTTAAGGTGTTTCATGATGTTTCATGTCATTTCACAGCGTTGCATTACCAAGCTTGGCCATCCCAAACCTGAAAAATCTCAACATGTCCGCTTGAACATTAAGATACATAAAGTGGTTGTCAAAAAAAAACATGAATTTTAGGAGGTTCAGGTGTTTGACGTCAAAATCTATTGGTGTAAACACCGAGAACCACTGCTTTTCTCTTGCGGGACTTTGAATTTAATGATTTAATGCAAGGCTGATGGCTGCACATGCCAACCCATGGGCCAACGACCCGCGTGAGCCGGATCCGGCCTGGTATCATGAGCAGCGCAACCGCCATGCCATTGCACAGTTGATTCGCCAGCGCCGGAGCGATGCGGCTGTGGAGGAGTCGGCATCGAGTGCATCGCAGGCTGCGCTGCCTGTGCTGCCACTGTCTTCTCAAGAGTTGCAAAGTGTGCGAAGCTCATTCTTGGCCAAGGGCTCGGCTGTACTGGAGCTTTGTGAACTTGATCCGGAAAGCGCAGAGTGTTCCATTTGTATGGTGGAAATGGTTGCTGAAGATGATGTTCTTTGTCTACCTTGTGGTGCATCTCCATCTTCAGAACTAAAGTCGGGTTGTCGCCCACATGCGTTTCACTTAAAGTGTTTGGAAAAGTGGCTGTTGACCAAAGCGGGGGCCTGTCCCATTTGTCGACACAGCCTCCGTGGAAAGCGTAAAACACGCAGTGCACCTGCACGAACTCGAGAGATTGAAATCCCAAGTCTTCAGTCTGTTCAACTGCAGCCCTTGCAACCGCTGGCGCAGCCACTACAGCCGCTGCAGCCGTTGAGTCGAGTGCCCGTGGCAAAGCCCCGGACTCGAAGTGCGCGACATCGCTCTGGGCTGCCACTTCCAGAGATTGAAACCCGAGCCCTGCTGCGGTGAAAACGTCCTGTTTCGGGAGGACATGGCTGTTAGATGTTTCAGATGGTTGGGTCATAACTATTTTGCTGGATCTGGCTTGCTCAAGAAACAGTTCTGAAAAATTGTTCTGTTACATGTTTGGCTTGAAGATATCTGATTAATTAAGTTATATTATATGTATGATTAAGTGCTACATATTATTGGAGAGCCATACCTTCCATTTAACATCGCTAACGTATATACAATTGTTGCAAGAAGTTCTTTCCATCCTGACCCAACCGGAAAATCCAGCAGGTAGGCAGTGGTGTCAGTGACGCTGAGCTGCAACGACGGCTGAACCAGGAGGTGCTTTTTCCACAACGGGAAATGAACCATTGTGATGCGTTCAATGGATGTAGCTGTTGCGGGTTCGACCAGCGGAGGTAGGATTGGTCAAAAAACAACTATAAAACGGATGGCAACCCATGCTTAACAGAATATTCGCTGTCAACCAAAATGTGAACCACCAAAAACGATCAAATGGATGGATACTGGGCCGACAACTGGAGAATTGTGGGAGCCCTGCACTAGAATCATTGAGCTTGGGTTGTTTTTGGCTTCGAATGGAGGATACCTTTAGATTTTAGACTCAAGCATGACCCAAGCATTGCTTTCCCTAATTAAACTTGATGGTGGCTTTGGTCAGCTGATCAGGACAGTGGCTACAGCACCTCTACCATCCTCTACCAACTTGTCCCTTAGATTCATAGTGCCTAAAAAATGATGCCTCATAAGGACATGGGCAACGATTCCACCACAAAGTTTTTCTATCCCCTAAGACCCTAGCACAGAGAAGCTGAGCGAAGAAAATGTCTGCGAAAATCTGTGCTCACACTTGGAAGGCGGATCGTTTGCGGGCTTTATTTCAGGAACCTCTCTTGGAGGCTGGATCAAGCAGATTTTCAAATGTCTCTAGCACTCGGAACAGGATGTGCATTTGGTATCGTTTTCCAAGGAAAGGCACAAAAATTCATGATTTAGTTTGGTAGGATTCCGGTAGGATAGCTATCGGTGAACAGGCTGTCAAGTGGGTTGCCATTGTTGCAGCTTGGCAATGTGCGTCAGCATGCTACCGTAATATGGCAACAACAGATGTACACGTACCGATAATCTAACATGCCATCTATTTGTGACTGTTTGTCAGAGAACCAAATCAGCAGGGCTTCCAGCGTAGCAGGGCTATGGGTGGTGAAACACACTTTTTCCACCGGAGCACTGATACGAAACAAGAAATAGCCGCTATGTGTGAAAGTACTTGTCCCGTGGTCATGGCAGATGCCCATTTATAATTAGGGCATGAAAAACAAATCGTGCTTCCCTTAGGCTCACTTTTCTGCTTAGTTTCAACTTTTTTGGAATGTGTAGAATGAGAAGAGGCCTCGGACGGTGCAAGGTAAATGATGGTGGACACAACGTGTGGGGGTCATCAGGCCATCGTCGTCCGCGGGTGTCTTCGAGTCGGCTATGAACCAGCTAATTTTTGGCACTGTTCCCGACAGAAGTGGACACAGAAGACAGCGCGGCAAGCTCACCAGTATATAAATGTATACTATGTTCATTGATCATGCGGTTGTCCGTGTGTGAGGCCCTGAAAAGGTTTTTAAGTTTTATCTTTCTAGGTGCTGGGAGAAAGGCTTTGTTTCTTGCCATCAGCATGTAACGATTTCTTCCTTTGAAAGATTCTTCTTCTCCCGGTGAAAGGATTCCTCCTTCCCGGCGCCGGGTTGGGAGGATTCTCTTTTTCCCGGCGCCGGGTCTCGCTCCCGGCGCCGGGTCTCCCTCCCGGCGCCGGCTCTCCTCCCGGCGCCGGCTGAAGCCTTCCTCCTTTCCCAGTGCGGGGTGGAAGCTTAAAGACCAGCAACCGTGGCGACATACAGTATGTTTGTTGCTGAGCTCAGGGCGTCAAAGTCTTCATTCCCTTCTAACGGCGCCAGGGTGACGAGGAGCGCGCTTCGATTCAACAATGACACCCGGATACTCGAAATTCAAGGCGCAGATCAGCTTTAGCGCGGAGAGATTTATTTCGGCCATGAGACGGAGGATAATTAAGGAACAGCAACGCTGCTGACTGTTGCTAGCTTTCCGCTTCCGCGCCTACACACCCGCCATATAGGTTTCTACGGAGCCTCCTGCTATGTCAGCAGCAGACGGACGCCTACCCTGCCATTTTGAAAATGTATGTATGTATATCTGGTAAGAGGCATGTACGCTTTTAAATATTCCCTCACAGTCGCACCTGCACCAAGGGGGATGAAATAAATTCCGGCCATTGCAGGCACCAGGCGCCAATTTTCAGTGCAAATTTTCATTTTTGAAAACGTACGAAATCACCTCGCACAGCCCCGATGGCTTGGCTCCACCCACTGCCCCGCTCAAAGGGCTAGCGGCGGCCTTCCTCCGAATGCCCCGTTGAAGCTCCTTACCCGTACAAGATTCAAATCTTCCTCCCAAAGCCCCGAACGAACCATTTCCACCCAAAGCCCCGATGAAACCATTCCACCCAAAGCCCCGATGAAAAGTTACACGCAAAAACGGTAAAAAAAAAAAAACAGCAAAAAAAAGTGTTTTTCTCGTTTCTGGAAAGGGCCTAGGTGCTTCCCAAGTCTCAGCTGAAGGGCCCGCAGCAAGGACTTGCTTGAAAACCCCAAAAGACCTAAGACTGGATAGCGGCATGAAGCAATCTTGAATACTACTTCTACTACATCGGCACTAATGCAAGCCTAAAAGGCTTGAGGTCACGGGGTTTTCCTCATTCCATCTGGTTCTGCTTCTTGCATCAACGCGTCTGCCAGGCATATATGGAAGCAATGCAGAAACAGACTCTGGTCCCTGTTCTGTTCCCGTTTGAGACATGCAAAGTTCAAGGTCCATCGTAGCAATGCTCTTTTTCAACCAGCGTTGTGCAGAGCTTTGGCACCCAAGCCGCTGCTCCTGTTTGCTCTTTGCTGTAGCCTCTGCCTTTCTAGGGCTGGCCTGTTTTAATTTCCCGATTAGCAGGCTTAGCAAATGAAAATGGAATTGGTAATGTTCTGCAAGCCGTGCTTGAAACAGCTACAGGACTGAGCATGAGGGTTGAATGAGAGGGCATTGCTGCAGCTTGCTGCTCCCAGTGGCTCGGGCGTGCCTTGACGGCAAGCTTCCCCAAGTTGAGAGCCTTTTCCCCATGAAGGCAAGGATTCGAACGCCCGTGGTGAGTCGCCATCTTGACGAAGGCAACTGCCGCTAATGCCCTAGGTGTTGCCTGCGTTAGCCTGCTCCGCGGCGTGCCCAGCGCGGGGTCGACTGTGAAATATGGCAAAGGGCGTTTCGCATGCTACTGGCCTGGTTCTCGTCGCAGGAATTCAAGGCAACATTGCGAAAGAGACAGGTGGCCACTGAGATCAGGTTGTACATACGGTTTCATACATGTTGATTTTCACAGGCACATGCTGTTGAAGTAGCCCCCCAAGGACAAGAAGTGCCCAAGCGAAGGCTAAGGATTTGCTAGTGCTCAATTGCATGGGTCTGTCCTGTATGGGCCATTGCTTGTCACAAAACAAACTTACATTGCAATAGAAGAGGTTGTGGTTGAACCACAAACTACATGGGGTCTTGAAATGTGTTCCGGTAGAAGATTCAGTGAACGTTTGCAAGGCTATTTAATCATATATATCTGTTCAGTGTAGCTAGGTTGGAAACCCCCCCAAGCCCCGCTCCACCCAGTGCCCTGCAAATTCTTTCCTCCAAGTTTGATTCATTGATTTCGATGCGCGTGTTTCACAGGCTGGACCTATCATGCAAACTTGTGTTGAACTGGCAGGTCCGGGTAGGAGCCGATGCTGGAAATGCTGGCCAAGGCAACGTTGAGCATGTTGAGCATCAGACTTTTGATGTGGCAAACCATGGCAAACCATCACTTGGTGGTTTGGAACATTTTTTATTTTTCCATAATATATGGGATAGTCCTTCCCATTGACTTTCATATTTTTCAGAATGGTTAAAACAACCAACCAGGACTGCGTTCCAATCCCAATCTGTACACTGCAGGCAGTGGCAGAGGATCCTCCTCTCCCCGACCGGCTGGAACAGAGGTTCTCCAAGAACGGGGGGTTTCGCCGCTTAGCCATGGTTACCCCATGGCAATCGTAAGGTGGAAAATGATGATAAACCAGAAGATTTATCATGATCTATCATGATTTACAGCTTGTAAACTGGGAGACTTTCAACATCTTTCAACTTTCAACCACTATGTTTATCCATTTTTGCTAGTATTTGATAGTTAGATTCCCATGTTTGCTTAAACACAAACTCCAAGTGTTGATGGTTCAGCTCCGCAGCCGCAGGGTCGGTCAGAGCTTGAGCGTGCGATACCCAACGCATCATGGTTTTGTGGGTCTGAAAATAGGGAGTGGCCCCCCAGCTATTTAACTGGTGAAAATCGGGAAGAAACATGATTAACCCTGGTGTTTTGGTCCTAAATAGTTTGGACAAGTCATGTTGCAGTAGTTGGTGATTCTGCTAGTCCTCGAGTAAGAAGACAATTGGAGGAGCTGAGAATTTGCGTGTTGCCAGAGTTTCGGAATGTTTCAAATCTGGTTCAAAGAGGGGCATGCCCAAAACCAAATTTTCCCAAATCCATCCAAATCCATCATTCCAGGGCCGCCATTTTTAGATATGCCCATGATTGCCCATGTCATCCTATGTCACTAAGGTATACTGAGGTTCCTTCACAACTTCAACGCGTTTCTCGGCCCAAAGCCGCCAGGCGGTTCATCGAAGCGACCGGTGTAGCTTCATCGAAGCGCGTTGCAATCGAAGTGACCCGGTGGGGTTGTACCGTTGGCCGGGCGCATGAGCGCGGCTGGGATCGAGGAGGAAAGTGCTGGACTGTTGGAAAGCCATAGCATTGGAACCAGCAAGCCACCCGCAAATCCAGCTGCTGCCGAGCTCTTCCATGACTTTTGCGGTCGCCCAGAGACGGCACAAGTCGAAGTGACCGTGGAGAACCGTTTTTTTCGGGGCTTTCAACATGCTGAGATTGATTGGAACAAACCTGTCCATGGTTTGCTAGTGGATTTCAAGGGCGACAGTATGCAAATTGGAATGATTCTCCAGCGCTTGGAGGTTGGGACCCGAATTTCAACATGTCCAGTTGGCAACTGCATTTTTTCTGGAATTTGTGTGTGGTTTTTCACAGGGTCTTCATGCTTTTTTTTGCATGTCATTTGTGGATGCCACGTGGCATGCCATGAAGCACCAGGGTCCATTTCCCTGGATTTGCTGAGTCGCCCAGGCCTGTGGAGAGCAGTATGTATTCCTTGGAAACCCTCCACCCTTCAATGGTGGTTGCTGGCCAGTGGTTTCAAAATATGTGTTGTCGAAAAACCCTAGAAGTGGATAGAAAATGATAGAAATAGGATGATGATCCACACCAACGAGCCGATGTCTCATGGCAAAAAAAACAACAACCAGGTTGGCACTTTACAGCTCTGGACGACTTTGAGCACGTTTTTGAGCAGAAAAAGTTGGACCCAGCATGGCAAGGCATTCGGGTGTGGCACAAGGTGAACTATGTGCCTTCAGTCACAGAGCAGGGAGAACCTGCACTTGTACCCAAGGAGCAGTTTGGATGGCAAGATTTGACATCCTTTTATGGAGTAGAGATTGAAGGATGATACAAGATATTTATATAATTTATATATTAATATATAATATATATTACAAGATATTATATACGTGGGATATACAGGTATTTTGTACATACTATAATACATCAATATACATCATATCATGGAATTTAACAATCTAAAAAGTATACATCTTATGTGTATCTATATATATATAACAATTTATTATATATATTTGTATACACATACTGGAATATACTGTATATTGTCTGTTTGTCACCGTTGCGTCCATCATTCAACCCCTCCAGGGTCAAACATGGCAGGAAGTGTTCGATCCAAAGAACAAACAACAAGGGGCCATTGCTATTGGCGAGAAGTTCAAGCTCACAACTCTATTCCTCACAGGTGTGAATTGTTGTGGTAAATCATGGCCATAGTCGGTTGGTATTTTCGGATTGTTGTCCATGAGACTTGGGACCGGAAGAAGTTTCTTCACAGCAATCCAGTTACCTGTTCCATCACGCCCTTTGAGGCCTAAATTTCTGCTTGAAAATGAGCAGTTTGAAATAGCTTCACCTAAAATTCCACTATTTCAGCCTGCTGCCATTCCAATCGCAGGTGGACTGATGCCCCACACGTTGAACGCCACCCTGCTGGACCAAAGTGACGCCTGCGCGGTGCTCCTGCGCTCTCTAGAGCTGGGCACCAGCTTCGCCACGATCGGCCACGGCTTGGATGTGCTGCTGGCGCTGGGAAAAGACGCCAGCCCATTGCAGGGAAGAAAGGCGGCAGTCTTCCCCAACCAGGAACGGGAGATTTCCAGGGTACCTGAGTTATCCTGAGTTTCTCCAAAACCGGTGGAGGATAGTGGAGCCAATTTATGCAATAGGATGATAATATAGGATGGCCATTTGATGTGGAAAATGATGATACAGCACGGAAATTTCAGAGCTGGGACCTTTGGAATACTTGGGTGAGCATTCATTTAAGGGCGTTTTGGCCCATACCCCAAATGGATCCAAATGGCAGACTTCATCAGAGCACGGTCATCAGACGCAATCACAAGCACGTAGGTTGCTCCGAGCACTGAGCTAAGTCGTCTACCTTTCAATGTTTTGGGAATGAAAAGCTGCTGCCCTTCTAGGTGGATTCTCGCAATGCGCTTGGTCTCCAGGAGCATTTGCTACGAATACACGGGGTGGAAGTCGCTCCAGAAGCCTTGTGCATTGATGGAGGACTTGTATCTGCCAGCTGCTGGAGCCAGGTGCCAGCTGATGCTGATTAGCTTCACCTGTCCGTCCGTTATGAAGATGGTCCGTTTATATCAGATATATGATGATATATATATATATATATATGTACATATATATATATATATACATGTAATATATGTGATATGTGTGTGTTTGATATGGTGATATTTTTGTATAATTTTGTTAATGTGTTCATTGTTGTTGTATGAAATTGTTATAATGATATATATATATATATATACATACATATTTATTTATGTGTGTGTTTACTTATTTTGCGTATATTATATATATATATATACATGGCATGGTACAGTATCGTATACTCCAGTCAGTTTAGCTACGAGTTGGCCCTCAACGTGGAAGCTGAGGGCTGGTTGCGGTCTGATCAAAAAGGAAATATTGAGAAAAGGAAACAAGGGCCACCAAGAACCTCCAAGAAAGGGAGGGAAACCAGTATTATCATTATTCTCATTATTAAGCATTAATAACCTGTAATCAACCATTATCAACCCACATTAACCCATAATGATACGTATGATACTGAGATAAACTGAGTCTCTTGACGCCTTGAAGCCCTGCTGCAGGATACAGAATACGATTTAATACTGGACCACATTATAGCATACTGTACCAGACCATACAAAAGAGGTTACTGTACTATGGTGTGTATCTATGTAAAATATTAAATTAATATATTGAAATATATTAATGTATATTATATAAAATTATATACATATAAATATTATATATTATCATTATTATCATTATCATTATTTTCATTATTATCATTAATATTATCATTATTATTATCGTTATTATTATTAAATACTTATGCATTATACACGAGGTACATAATCATAAGATATTGTAAGATATGTAGAGATAGATAATGTTGGCAACCCAATAATAAACCTACCATTTGGGGATGGTTTGTACTACCCATAAAAACGGTAATTTTGGGACTTGGGGGATATTTTTTTTGGGGGGGGTTATTATTGGCTTTAACCACATTTGTTCATAAACTTGGGACAGCTGATACCCTCTGGTAAACTAACATAACTATGGAAAATCACCATTTTTAATGGGAAAATCCACTATAAATGGCCATTTTCAATAGCTACGTTAAATTACCAAAGGGTACCCCCACCCCCCACCCCCCAACCCGCCAGGCCACGTCGGAGCCTTTCTTCGCCGCGCTGAAGCTCCCCGCGGAGACGCGACCGGAGAAGTTGCCGCGGACGGCGCGCTGCCTGCAGCGGAGCACCACTGAGACGGTCTTCTGCTTCGATGGCTCTAAGATGTCGGGTGGGAGGTGGATGGGTTTACAAAGAATCGGTTCTTGGGGTATCAGGGAATGTGTTCTTCATGTTTTTTCTATGTGTTTTCTTTGAATTTCAGAAGATCACCATCGACGAAACAATCCCCAGCTCGAAAATCACAGGTCAACTTTGCAGGTTGGCTCCCCAAAAACTCGGGGATGGAGCTGTCCAACGCTACGGAAATGAAATGAATGGGATATGATGCGATATAGAACCAACATGAACCAACATGATATTGTTTTGTGCATTCACTGCAGATTTTTTGTATTTTTCAGTTCGTTGCAATGATCATGAGAACTGGGGACATGATGATCAGCCACTAGATTTGTCATAACATTTTTCGAATCACAGTTTGGAAATTTCATGGATATTTTGTCTGGTTGGTGGTTTGAAACATTTTTTATTTTCCATAATATATGGATAATCCTTCCCATTGACTAATATGTTTCAAGATGGTTAAAACCACCAACCAGTTGTGAATCCGATAGTGATAGATCATTAAACAGATTGATAAAAAATGACAATGAACATGATGGTTTTTGAGGCCGAGATTGTGACCTGGGAAGGTTCACGCTGAAAAGTCTGGAGATGTGGGAAGTTTTTAAAGTAGTATGGCCTCCAAAAGCATTGCTCGTGAAACCCATTGAAAACACGATACAATCCTCTCCACCAAATATCTCTCACACTAGGTCACTAGGTTCAGAAGTTCCAGGGATGTGGCTTTCAGCAGGGCAACCCCCTAGATAAAGTGGTTGATCGTCCTTCCCCAGTGAAAATGTCCATCTATATCATCTACTGGGTCAGGAGTTTTATCCTTGGGGATTCCGCGGCTCCGACAGTGGCGTTCTTTGTCGACGATGTGGCAGATCCTATTGAAGCTTTTACCATCCTCAACCACCTGGCGAAGCTGAAGTTCAATATTCATCTCATCAGTCACAGCCAGGCAGAGCATGAACGTGGTGATGCCAGCCTTCGCAGGGTGAAAACGGAGACCGTCTGGGGCAATGCGATGTATGCTTTGAAGGATTGCTGCTGTGAACTCCTGACACTTCCAGCGAATTTGGTGGATGCGTCCTTACGCTTCGACGGTTTTTTCGTCGCTGGCGGACAATGCCCCTACTACATGATGAAAGATCCGGCCATCAAAGCCATAATGGATGCGACACCCATTGCAGCGGCGGTGTGTCACGGCCCCGAAGCCTTGATCGGCACAAAGTGGTTGCATCCTTTCCCTTCAGGAGAAGTTGGGAAATTTGTGTCCTATTATGGTGCCTGGATGAGTTTCCGTGATGTTCTTCATGCCTATGAAAGGAAGAAGCCTGGAGAGATTTGTGAAGATGCCACAGGTCGATTCTTCACCGGCAATGCACCCAACTCAACTCAGGCCATGGTGGTTAGAGCATGTGAAGCCATTCTGAAAGAGCGAAGTGATTAGCGACGTGTTAATAGGCCCAAAAGAGGTCGGGAAAAAGGGATGGCTCCAGTCCCACATGCTGAAGTGATCTCAACTAGTTGTTTACAGTTCTCTACTATCAGATATTTGCATATATATATATATGTTATATATATACATATATTTGAACTTTGAACATAACTGACTTTAAAAGGAACTTAAAAATACCTTAAACAAAACGAAGTGATCGCCTCCGAGGTCGATGTCCAAGTCCAAGGCTCCAGGAGCGCATGTTTTTTCGAAAGTCCAGGTGGATTGGTGTGACCAAAAATCATCCAAAAGACTTAAAAAGTTAAATTATATCTATATATATATTATATGCACATTTATGATCATTTATGTGTATATATATACACACATTTATGTGTGTATATATACACACACATTTATGTGTATATCTATAACTACATACAGTATATATATATATATGTATATTATTGTGAATTATTATGTATATGATATTGTATAATATATGTATAATATGTTTTATAGATATGGAATGAATAATACACATTAAATCACTTTTCTGGAATCTGGAAGGGTTGTTCTTTTTCTATCTCTTTGGGGGCTTGAACATGGCTGAAAGATGCTGAAAATGTCGCAGCTCTGCAGGATCGAATTCCAAGAGCTGAATCTGCCTATGGCAACTCAGCTGGCACGTGCTTGGTAGGTAACTGGGTGGTATATTTTGAGATGGTATGGTCAAGCTCTGCTTGTGATCATTTAGAAACATTTAGAATTTAGATTTTCTGATGTCTGTTGATTCTAGTCAACTCCCATGCAATTAAAACTGGCTGCCCAGTTTTGACCCGTCCATTGCATCCAGTGTCAACTCACCTGGACTGTTGCATCCATTGCAAGTTGGGGGTTCTCGGTTCTCCCATACCTATAGGGGAGTAAATTGTTGAATTTAGACAAAGATTTCATCAGATATCTACGGAGGCTCCGACTTTCCAGCCGTTGTGCCACGGAGTGCCAGCACAGCCAAGGCTGGGATACGCCAGATGCGCCCCTATCCTTCCGTGAGCTACGGGACTTCTGGGGTTTTAATTAATGGGTTTGATGTTTGCTCGCTTGGAAATGGTGTAGCACCGATGAAGGAGCCGAAATCACAAGCAGATTGGATGATTTTGGTGATGTCCTTTTTCAGCCCTTGCTTAAACATGCCGAAAGCAAGATCATTAAAAGAGTGGGTTGCCTTGCAGCATATTGCCCGCCCGTTGCCTTTTTGGTGCAGGAGCGACTGCGTGCTGCAGAGAGCGAATATGGTTTCATTCTCGGATGGGAGGACCTGATTTGCAGGTGTTGATTTATACGTAGCTGGTTAATGGATGTTAATGGATGGTTATTCCCCCAATTTTAGTAAATATAATATAGTCATAACAGGTTTTGATCCATCCCCATGCTGTTTTTTGGAACATTCCTTCGCCTGCCGTCGCAGTTCTTCGCCAAACACCTGAGGCTTACACCTTCCGTTGGAGGAACGCTTTGCTCTAGCGGATGCCAGTGAACCTGACATGTTTGTTGCTATACCAAAAATGAAATGAATGGGGAAGATGATGATGATATCAACAATATCAACATATATCAACCATGAGATTTTGGGGGTACCATGGGATAGCCTAGTCTCAGACAATGCCATGGTGTTGCTGCCTGGGCGCCAGCATGGGCTGGAACGAATTGGCTGGGATGTTACCATTGATTGAGATGAAAAAATGGGGACAACAATTACCCTCTGGTAATTTAACATAACTATAGAAAATCAATGAAAATCACCTTTTTTAATGGGAAAACTCACTAGAAATGGCCATGTTCAATAGCTATGTTAGTCATAACCAGAGGGTAACAATCCAAAAGATGCTGTATGAGCTTGAAGCATCAAGACAGGTGCTCGTCCCTTCTTGGAAAGGCGAGAATTTGGGACGGAATAGGCGTATCTATATGATTTGACCATGAATATCAAACTGTAATATACAATATACATATAATATATATATATATATGTGCTATATATTGTATTTATATATATATATACATGTTATATATACATATATATAATTATTTATTATTATTTATTACTATTATTATATAGTTTTTCTTTAATTGCATGGTTCACATGTTCAATTCGCCAAGTTTGCTCCGTTGGGGAGGCCTCCACAGTGGTCGCAGCCAAGCGCAGAGCACCCGAAGGAATGGCCCAGCACATCAATTTGGCAACGTTTGGCACCGAGGAAAAACTCATTCCACGGATAACTGGTGAATGATCCTGGTGAATAATTCAATTAATTCGGAACAACCATGGTTTATGGTTTTATCTGAAGATGGCGGATGGAAATGGATGGAATTGACTGGTGAATTGCCTTGATCGCAAGTCTTCTAGAAGTGGCTTGTTTAAAAATTGCCGCATCGCGTCCTGGGACGATCCGTCGCGAAATCTTCACGAGAATTTTCAGTGCAGAAACAGCGGAGGTACTCTGAAAATGTGGTACGTACCCCCCCAAAAAATGGCAGAAATCAATGCCCAAAAATCCCATGGTAAATCATGACATGGTCGATTGAACATTTTATGGGTATTCCCCCATTTTTGGACACAGCCATATATTTGCAAACAAGTCCCTGCAAGCTTCAAAAGCCTCAAAGAGGTTCAGCAGGCTTCAGCACGGTTGCGCCGAGGTTTCAATCATCCAACAGTTGCAGTTGAAGGCAACTTCTCATGACTCCGCCAGAAGTCTGCTTGGAAATCGTAGACAGAACCTGATGTGTCTCCTGTGACGGACTGGGGTGCTTCAGGCCCTCGCTTTTTGATGGGAGATTCGTATTGGGAACAGCGTGTGGCACCCAGGGAACTCGGGAGCTCTGACATCATCGCATGTATCAGTGAAAGAGTTGTGGAAGGCGCATGCTGTCCAAGATCATACTAGATAACGTTGCTTATCATCCCGCTAAAGGATGTAGTATCCCGTATCCCCATTCTTGTTGGTTAAACCCCTTATTTTGGTGAAAATGCCTGTCTGGCCTGTCAGAGCATGAGGACAGGGTAACCGCATCCGAGAGCAACGGGAAGCGCTCATCAAGCGCGGCTTGCTACATGAAGAGCCGGAGGCGTCTGAGATGGATTGAGATGGTGTGTCTGAAAATGATGTATACATATGTATACAAGTTCCCAGTGAACAGATGTAGTGAAGAAAGTGATGACATTTTTTAAAAATTTGTTGGATTTGCGGGCACCCGGAGTTCTAACAACAAACCCATCATGATGGAGTGGTAAACGAATCAGCTTCCGCCACTTCGCAGGTTGTGCCCTTCAAGGCTAAGCCTGTTCCTGTGTCCGTGTACGCACCCCGGCCACAGGCTGGCGGATTCCGATAGAAGTTGTGAACAGATACAAAGGCATATGGAGTTTCATCAGGCGTGCATTTTGGTAGAGGAAACTATGGTAAGAAATGTGCCAGCAGAAGTAAATAATTCATGATCATTTTATTGCAGTTCCAGGGGATGATTTCAGGATCATTTAGGAATTTCAGCGTATTTCAGCTATTATGAGCCTGTTCTATTCCTTCCCCATCATGAACCTGCCTTTGGTTGTAACTTGTGACCTTTCAAGGGAGTGCCACTTGGGTCCCTAAAATTAAGAAACAGCAGAGTACAGTATACAACATTTTAATACATTTTATTATATGCGTGGGATTGCGTGGGTGTGTCTGAAAATGGTGATATCTCCTTGTTAGCCAATGCTTTATCACCAATAGATTTATCACCCGGGCCTGATGCGACCTGCATCAGTGAGACCAGGCGCAGGTCAATGGGCGGCTAGGCCGCTCCATGGAACGTGCGAAGCTGACGACATTAGCATATTAAGGGGCTTTCCATTAATGGGGGTACCCCAAAATAAATGATTTATAGCATTTTATAACGGAAAATCCCATGAACATGGATGATTTAGGGGTACCCCTATTTTAGGAAACCTCCATATGACTTGATGATACTTGATGAACACTTCCACTAAAGGCAATAAAAACTATTGAAAACTGCAAGGATGATGGTCATTGCTGCATTGCTTAGGGGAAGAGGAAGAGCAGCCTTTCCGCGCCCCTTGGTGGACGGTGGGACCTGGGATGAACGGTATGGCAAGACTATGGCAAGTATATAGTAGACATGATATGGTATACTCAAAAGTATGCAGTGTACTGCAGTCTACTTTATAATATATATATACATATGTATGATTAATTTATCCAAGTGTAAATAATCAAAACCTATAGAGTACACGGAAATGACCTAGGTGTTTCGTTTTTTGTTGAAATCACGTGCTTTCCTGCAGTACAAACGAATCGTAACACGGAATCACCATGACACGATGACACCTGAGGCTCGACCAGTTCCATGGCGGGGTTCAACGCCTTTGTATGACACTTCGGCGTCAAATTCAGGGGTCCACAGATGTCCTAAACCATCTCGCTTGGATGGTGCCCAAAATTTTCACCCGTCCATTGGATCTGAGGCACTCTCAAAAGCCATTCATGGTCCGGACTGTTCTTATGCGCGTAGCTGTGGTTCTGATTGGTGGAGAAATTGAAATTGAAATGGTTCCATCATGTTCCTTCGTGTTCCATCATGTTCCACAATGTTCAATCCAGCCATAAGAATAGAGATGAATAGAGAATTATCATGAATTATAGTAAATTAAAATGAATTATAATGAATTAAAAGATATAGAATGGAGCTATAAGCCATCGTACAGCTACCATAAGTTCATGCCTGACCAAGACCTCAGAGGACCAGCTGCTGGTCGAAGAGCGGGAAGCACGACAGAACCGTCAGCGCACGTTTGGAGCCGAGAAAGGAAACGTGAACGACCCCTCAGGATGCCGCAAAAAAAGTGCAGTTGACAATCTTCAGATTTATATGATTTATATCTATATGATTATATATTATAATTATATATATATGTTTTTTGAGTTATCATGATACCTGAGACTTGGAAAATTCTATGTTGATTCCCGATCGTTTGTTGGAA